ATGTGAATATTGAGGTCTTCAGAGAAAGCTCCAGAACCTACACCTTCATTTGTTTTAGAACCATCGGTGAAAACTCTAAGCTCTTTTGGGCTTAATCCTTCCGGCTGGCTGTTTTCATTTAATTGTATCTTGTATTTCTTATCGAAAACAAATTGTTTAGGAATCCTATCGTATTTGGCTTGTAGGATAGGAATTTCTGAGTGAATTCTATCAATTATGCCTGTATGAGGGACACTATTGTTACTCCAAAGATTTAGGGTCTTGAGTCTGATGGCAGCTAAAGTCGCTTCTTATTGTATATGTAGATGAAACGGAGTTAGCTCCAGTATCGCTTCCAAGGCTGCTGTTGGCGTAGTTCTTATGCAGCCTGTGGCAGCCATACATGCCAGTCTCTGGTAGCACTGAAGCTTCTTAATTGTGGTGGCTTCATTTGTCTTGGTCCACCATACCAGAGCGCCGTATGTGATCATGGGCCGAATTACAGTTTTGTAAAGCCACAGTATGATTTTTGGCGTCAGTCCCCATCATTGTATAGCAATTGCATTAGAGCGACGCAGGTTCCGCCTCACAGCTTTTCTCACAAGCTTGGTTAGTGTCACCTGTTCCGATGGTGATGCTGTTGTTAACTAACGCCTTCTTTTTATAAGCTGAAATGTCTCATCTGAGAACTTCGACTTTCGGCCCGTATGTTGCTTGCCACAAAACCTGTTGCCCTCATCCCGTAAGATCTTAATCACGCTGTCAAGTTCCTCGGCAATATCCAAAGTGGGTCTCAGGGCATCGAATTGATTTTTAAGTTCTAGATGGAAGCGTTGGTAACCAGTTACGGTTTGAAACAGATTTGGTCAAATCGTAGATTGACCATTCGGAAACTTTCAGAATGCCTCCAACAAGTTGGTGATCGCTTCCGGTATTGAATTTGATGATCACTGAGACGTTTCTGAATATGTGCCTTTTGTCCGTCATGATAAAGTCAATCTCATTTTTTGTCGTATTATCGGGACTGCGCCAAGTCCACTTCCTTTGTGGCTTCTTCGCGAAAAACGTATACATCAGAAATAGCCCCTCTTTCTCGAGGAAGTTGACCAGCATTTGCCCCCTGTGAATCCTGCTTCCAAAACTGTGGTGTCCCAAAATCGATTCGACGCCCGCCTGTTTATCCACTTTGACATTAAAATCCCCCATAAAAACATTGTAGTGGGCCTTTGTGGTGTTACGTAAGGCCCTAGAAATGTCTTCATAGACAGTTTCAACTTCGTTATCCAAATATGCCGAGGTCGGGGCATAAAGTTGTATGATCTTCAGAGAATATCTCTTTGATAACTTAAGTATAAGGTACGCTACCCGTGTCGACACACTTGACATTTCTACAAGGCTGTTAGTGAGGATCCTATGAATGACTACTCCGCCTTGGAATAGGCCGTTTCCCTCCCGAAAATAGAGCAGATGGCCAGATTGCAGGGTAATTGTGTCCTGCCCCTTTCTTCGGACTTCACTTAACCCTACAATATGCCATTTTATATTTTCCAGCTCAGCTTCCAGTTCATAAATGTGTCCATCTTGCCGAAGAGTCCGTCCATTTTACGTTGCCAAGTCCAGTTTTTGGTGGTAACCTGTCCTCTCCCGGGGATTCTTCGCACCCCATGCCCCACCGTTGCCATGACCGCCACCACGGCCAGGAATAATGAGGCGACCGGGAACTGGGGGCCATGTTTTTGTGGTGCTACTCCTAGGAGGATTTGCCCTTAATCCCCACGCTGGGCAAGCGGGTTGGCGATCGCAGTGCCAGACACATCGCACCTGTGACGCGGCTGCCCATCACAGGTCTGGGCATTTTTGGTCTGGCGAAGACTTGAATGGTTATGCCGCCATCCATCGGAAGCCTTAAGTTCTCCTTTTTTTTAAAGGCATTTACAACATTTACATTTACAATCATTACAAGGCCCTCTGTCGGCTCGTACGACATCCACGGGATGAAAACAGTGACAGTATTCTAGGCCGCTGCCACACACTACCTAATGCCCTAAAAACTATAAATAATATTAACATATTTTAAACAGAGATTAAAATATTTTTTATTGGAAATTTTTTTCTATACAGTGAATGATTTGAGTTTGACATTGAGTTTGATAAAGAGTACTATTGCATGCATTATTTAACTAGGGCCAATGCGGATACAAATGTAAGCTTTTGCTAGCATCATAAACGGAGTGGGGTAAGTCTAAAGCGCGCGCTTTTGCTTTTCATGTATTTTCCCATAGACAATTCAGTTTTAGGTTATTTTTTAATATCTTTTAGACAAATCATCATCATTAGATTTTTATTGTTTACAAACCTCGCTGCGTTGAGCTACAAATATTGCTGAAAAAATTATGTAAATTGGCCTAAAGGTTACGGTTACGGTTGAGATAGATTTCAAAGAATCGTTTTCTTGCACCATGTAATCAAATGATTAATTAACTTCCAGAAATTATTAAGTAAACACAAATAATGTTAATTAATTTTCTCTAATATTTTATGTTTAAATAAGTTTTCCTACAAAATCTATATTGTTTTTGGAATAAATGACTGATGGCAGCAAATTAAATACCAATCACTTCTAACATTCCGTGAACAGTAATTATGTAGATAACCTGACAATACTGGTCTTGGGAAAAACAGCAAGCATGGTGTGCGACCTGACACAAGCAGTCTCCATATAGTGAAGTTGTTACATAGTATATATAGTGAAGTTGGTGCAAGAAATATGACTTAACGGTTAACCCAAATAATACAATACTAGTAATGTTCATACAAAAATGAATGTTGAATAACTATCATCTGCCAAGTATTTTCAGCACAAAGTCCAGCTATCCTCTGAGGTGAAATAAGTCTTACTTTGGACAGTAAACTCAACAGGAATAAACATAAAGAAAACAAAATCAACAAAACTAGTATAACTTTAGGGCTATGCAGAAACACGATTGGTAAACAATGGAGTCGGATGCCAAAAATTATACTGTGGCTGTACAAGACTGTGATTCAGTCCATGATCACATATAACGCCCTGGTATGAAGGACCAAAACGAATGAAGCCACCATTATAAAGAAGCATCAGTGTTACCAGAGACTGGCATGTATGGCTGCCATAGGCTGCACAAACACCCACAGCAGCAATTTTCACAGATGTTTCTGAAATGAATTAAGGTGCAGGATCTCCTCAATATCTGCAAATGTACGCCGCTGGCACACCACAGTCTTTTAGACAGAAAGCGTATCATCTATCAGCGACTAAATGTGATATGTAAACACAACAATGTGACTCTGCAATGTATCAAGGGACACAGTGGATCCAGGGGCAATGACGCAGCGGACAAATTGACCATGAGATCGGCTCAGGTCATTATAGGGCCAGAACCAATCATACCAACTCTTTTGGTAATGTTCATTTATTTGTACTGGTAGAAACAACACTCAACACTCAGCTTTGGAAAATTTTATTCGTCTGCAGGCAAGGTAGGGATTAAAGATTTAACAGCAGATTAAAGCAGTAGCAGATTAAACCAGCCACAGATCAGGATAGCAACAAGTGTTGTAATGGGACACGGCTCTTTTAACAAACCTTTATTTACTATATGTATTACAGATAATGCCCTATGCAGGGCATGTATGAGGGAGGAGGAAACGGTGGCTCATACTGGCTGGCATATCTGGAGGTTGCTGCATACAGGGCTAAACATCTCGGCACGCAGGGATCACTTCCGGAAGTTGCTCACAACATTAAAGTACCGCTAAACTTAGTTGGGGAGATTTAGGTGGGAGGTAACCTTGCTTAATTGGTGAGTACACTTGGACATCTGTCCAACATTTCTTATACTTAGGAAAATTAATATGTATATAAACATAAGTTTCTACAAATTATTCCCAGCAAGAATAAGCTACATCATAAAAGTTTGAGAAACTTAATTTGCTTTAATTTGTCACCATGGACGTAACATTGGACTAAGAATTAATTAAAAAAATTGTATATATGCTCAATATATTACATGGTATTTCAAAATAATTTGGCAGTATGCTATCAAATTCATAACACTGTATTTCCCATTTATAAACTCAAAACAATAAACCTAAACCAGCGTGCCACGGCATAGATATGATAATAAACATTATTCTGAATTTCCTCACATAAGTCTGATCTTTACCAACTTTGTTTTTTAGTATTTGTAAACCTGCAAAAGCTAGTACAAACACACAAAAGTAAATATTACAAAACCCATCAAACGTGCCTAAAATCCATCCCTATCTTACCTTGATGTACCTTATGTTTCTTTAGAATAAAAAATTTAGGTTTCATGTAATTTCAAGTAGTATATGTAAGTTCTATGTTTATAGTTTTAACGACAACACATATTTTTAGATATCCACTTTCTTTTCAACAAACCAAATCATTTATTTGCAATCTAAGTGTACATAATTGGTATTAAATTATAAATGTGCTTACAACTTAGACGCCCTTTTCAGGCACTGCAATTTTGACAAGGGCTCTTTTTCACTTTTTAAATTCATTTCTATTTTTTAGTATAGATTGGTCTCAATATTGTATTATGTAAGTTTAAGGGAAGCGAAGTAGTTCCAACACAAGTATTTTGTAACTTACTGGAGCTACCTCAATTTCTTTAATGCTTGACAATGTATTGAGAAACAATAAACAATCATTATTACTATTATAGTTTTATATGTTTCATACAAGATAACTACCCTATGTCTTATAATAAACTTCGAAGTGTGTGTTAACAAAATACATAGTATGATGAATGAACACTTCAACTCATTCTTTTTTTTTTTTTAGAACCGCTATATGAGTGAGACGGTAATACTAAATTAACTCTTCAAGCAAGTGGTAGATAGTATTACCAATTTATCACAGTAAACTTACGATAGCGACACGATGAATTGAGGTAATGCAATGGAATTTCATTTAATTTAAGATGATTAATTGATAATTTGATAATAACTTTTACCTTCTTCGTATGGTTCAAGCGGTGTCCCAAAACGAATTATATTTTCTTCCTCTGAATCTGAGTCGGTCATAGTGTATCCTGAATGAATTACGTTTGTTGGATTGTCTTTATAAATAAATAACTATTCGCACTCCAGACCAAAGAATATAATAGTTTTATGAGCAGAAGCTAGCTAAAAGGTAAAAAGTACAACGATCTACAACTTTATAATTTGTGCAACGATCAACAACATAAGCTGTCATCATCATTTTGACATTTGTTCAACGATGAAGAATATGGAGTGTAGAAGTAAGGAGTACAGACTGTGTATTAAAAAGTGTCCATAGAAAACCGTTAAATAAGGGTGGCGCTACTATAAATACGGGGTATACTTTAAAGAACGCACTGAAAAATTTTAGTAGGATAGAAGACTTTTTAGAAGTTATATTTACTAAATAAAATTATTTTAGATTTTAGAGCTACTGAGCAGTTTAGCAGCACACTTAAACCGTCGACAACTGCTAAGATCATTTCATCCCAGTAGCTACTCCAGCGCTGTTGTGGAGAGTTTTTGAACTGTTATTTACTGCTTACAGATGGTCACTTTTTCAACTATTCTACTATGTGAGTTGGTACTCCTTGCTTCTACACTCCATCACAGAACACTATTACTCCTATCGGAGAAGAACGACAACTTCATACAAAATTTAAGAAATGAGATATATAACCACTAGCGCCATCTATCGTCAGCCTCCTGCACTTCTCGTGTGGCGGGAAAATTTGAATGTGGTCTTTTTTGTTTTTTTTATTTGAGGTATTTTTGGGTTTCCTATCCCAGCGCTAAATAAAAGAACAAAAATTACAAAATTTCTATTTATTTATTCAAAATAAAAATACAAATTGAAATAAAAAACATACATAACTTAAGAAACAATTTCTCCAGCAGCTTAGTTCTTTCTATAAAGACATTTAATGGGTTTAAATATGAAAAGAAAATCAATAATGATTACAACATTTCAATTACTTAAGTAAACAATGATAAAGAATTGAAATAAGATTTACAATCATGGATGAATTGATAATATGCACAATGATTGTCTACAATAACCAAAATATCAATATTTTAATCTAAAACAAGTTAATTAATAAATGAGCTCCTACACACAAGTGCAAAGTGCAACATTCACAAATAATAATTGTGTTTTGATAATATTTGGTTGTCTATCTATTTCCCTGAATTGACACTAAAAATTTTGTCTCTATATTATATGCAATATATTAAGTATTGAATGCAGCTTATAAATAGAATAATTTTAATTCAAAATTATAAAACATATTAAATATTAGATTACAAAAATATTCCTTATTTCATTTTAAAAAATTTCATATAGATATACATACTTTCTTTTTCAGGTTCAACATTATGTGTTATGCTTTGATGTTTGTTCTTCAGTGGATATAATGTTGTCCTTTTTGAAGATCCTGCTTGTGGTTTTGCAGCAATAATTTGCGAGGGACCAGCTTGTGATTCCACAAAATAAAATGGGAATACACTTTGTTAGTCTGGAAATAAATAAAAACTGAAATAAATTATAGTAATGATTTCTTATATTTACGCGAACACTATACATGATTAAAACTACTTTTACGGATTTTATCGACTTACTTTTTTTTAACTTTTATTTTTAATATTATTAAAAATAAAAGTAAATAAAAAGTAAAAATAAACGCGATAAAATCCGTAAAACTAGTTTTAATCATAAATTATAGTATCATAAAATTATTATATAAAATAAAATTAACATTATATTCATTGACATTACTTTCATAGTAAATCAGTCCCTACTCATGGCACTACATTACCCTTCTACCAATACAAAATAAATGAATGGATCTTGTTCATCCAACTTGCTCTATAATACGCCCACTATTACAATTAATATAACAAAAAGATAGTAAATACAATAACTATGTGAAAAGAAATCTTGTGTTTATCTAATGTTTGAGAACCATTTGATGCATGTATTTCTACTGTGTTGTACAAGTTGTGCCTTTAAATTTGATAGGTTTAGGACGAAATGTAATTATTCATATATTGTGATGCCGGAACTTTCTTAAGGTTTGTTGTTGATTTAAAATAAAATTTGATTGTTAAAAATAATATGCAGTGTGTTGCACTTTTAATAATGTAAGGAAAGGCTTGTGCTAACTTTATAGACTTCAATCCTTTGGATGCTTTGTCCGATCCAATTATTATAAATTAGTTGAAAGAATTAACAGGATTCAAACTACTGTATGTGGTCTGTTCATCTATGTTAGATCCAGATGATGGTCATATGAATAATCATCATCTTCTTTACAGTCTATCAAAGTCCACTCCTGAATATAGTAATCCCCATATAAAATATCTGAGTAATCCTTAAAGAAAACTATATACATACCATATTACCATATACATTATACACTTTACTTACATCACATGGGACTGCAGTGCTTAAGAGCTTTTTCTTGGTTGCATCATTAAATTAACCATCATGAAAATGTTTTTCACACAGCATTCTGGGCTTATTATGTAGCTTTGGAAAGCTAAAGTAGTATACTGCTCTTGGGAAGGAATATAATATTTCGCCCATAATTTACAACTGAAAACAAAAGATATAATTATTAAATACAAATATTATCAAAGTAGGTTAAAAACAAATTAATGGTTTACAAACCAATAATTTGTTTTTAAATGGTAAAAGAGAAACAATAAGTTGGACAAGAGATTTACTTTAAGGTTAGAACTTATTAAATAGTGTATATGTATATCGTATACGTACCGCAAAATATACTTTACTGCGAATTTCGGAAACCTAAATAATTTAACGTTGTCAATGGTTGGTATGCTGTTGCACTTAGAACACTTTTTCTATTTTCTTTATCCGCCATTGCAGCGTAGTTTTTAAGAGTCACTATTTCGTATTTCACTACGATTCATTGACTAACTGATATGTTTGTGAATGCAATGAAACGACCGCTGTCTTGTAACACTCGTTTATTACTGGTTGGATGACCGTACTCCACACGTATATGTCATTCCTCCCCACTTAATTTTGGAACCTGGTAACAAGGTTTCTTAATTAAATACAGTAAAAATTTTTGTCTACATAAACTTAACAACTAATAATAACTATTAACAATAATTAGCGAACTTGATCTCTGCGTAACTATAATTAACAATCGCTACTTAAAAATACTTTTTATAATCCACCCTTGGTCTTGTACGTTTCGGGCGTGTGGCTAAAAGTGGCAATGTTGGCGGTACATGGGAATCGCCAATTGTGGACGGCACAGCCTCCGTTTCTGCCATAGGCCTTTCTACGGGGGCAATGTTGTCCTTTTCATACTCCCTAGTCTCACATTCACTTACTTCTTCTGCCTCACCGTGGTCAGATGAACCAAGATTCGGCGCTCCAGTATTCGAGGGCGATTGCAGCTCAGCCGTCTGCATATTCGTAGCCTGTTCCATACTTTGCTCCGTATTACTTATAGCCGGAAACATAGGCTGTTGCGCGGGAGGGTGTGCATTTACAGTAGCCGGCGATGTGGAGGGGCAACGAGTCTCCTCAGCAGCGACAATATCGTCGCGACTACTGTCTGAACCCGTATATCTAATAATTTGATCCACATGTCTAATACACCAAACCTCCATGTCCCTAATATGAATTTTATACATTTTATTTCCTATTTTTTCCTTTATTCTACCTAACTGCCAAGATTCTTTTCGTGCACTGTACCATCGGGTCCAAACGATATCGCCGATTTCAAAAGATCTTTTCCCGGCTGCCGTAAGTGAATTAGAATTATGATTTTTTAAGGGTAAAATCAAATCGAGACGCGACCGCAAATTTCTGCCGAACATTAACTTTGCCGGCGTTTCACCCGTGGTACAATGCACGGTATTTCTATAGTTAAATAGGTACCCTAATAACATGTCGTGAACTTTGTGCAAAGGTAAATTGTCAATTAATAAACATTTTAACATTTTTTTACATGTTCTTACTGAATTCTCAGCTTGACCGTTACTTGGCGGATGGTAAATGGGTGACGTCATGTATTTTATGCCATTCGATGAACAAAATGTCTGAAACTCGAGTGAATTAATTTTTACATCGTTGTCGGACACTAAAACATTTGGTATTCCAAAATTAGAGAAAACGCCTTTTAATTTTGTTATTAAAGCATTAGATGAGGTTCCGTTATGCATGTATAGACATTCTATCCATTTACTGTAGGAGTCGACGATTACCAGATATACCCTCTGTCCTACAGTCATGTAATCAATGTGCACTCGTTGCCATGGCGCGGTGGAGGGAGGCCAGGGCGCGGGGGGGTCGCGCGGCGGGGCGGCCCGCACGCTTGCGCACGTCGCACATGATCCGATCCAGCGTTCGATGTCCCGGTCAATACCGGGCCACCACATTCTACTTCTAGCGTTACATTTAGTTTTGGTTATTCCTAAATGAGAATCATGAAGCTCGCGTAACATTCTATCTCTCAACCCGAGTGGTATAACAATCCTATGTCCCCTAAAAAGACAACCATTCTCATATTGTAAATCGGACTTGCAATGAAAATAAGGTAAAATAGATTTACATTTTAATTTACGCGGCCACCCGTGTTGCATGTACCTAAGCACGGTTTTAATCGTCCTATCTCGCTCCGTCGTCTGCGCAACGTCGCGGGCCGAAATGGCCGGCGATGACGCATCGAGAAACCTAACTGCATAATGCGTGTCTATATCGTTTGTATCTATATCGTTCAACGACTCGTTGACGCATTTTACAGGAGCGCGTGAGAAGTAATCGGCCACAATATTATTTCCGCTAGATACATATTGTACGACATAGTTATAAGCGGACAATATAACTGAGTATCGCTGCAGTCTTAGCGCAGTAGTAACAGGAATACCTGTTTTAGGATTAAAAATTGATACCAATGGTCTGTGGTCGGTTTTCAGGATAAAAGGATCTTCGCGACCGTACAAATATTGATGAAAGCGTCGGACCCCGAAGATAATGGCCGTCGCTTCCTTCTGTATCTGGCTATAGTTTCTTTCACTGCTCGTAAGTGAGCGAGATGCATACGCTAGCGGGCGTTCGATGCCGTCCTCCGCCCTTTGTGAGAGTACGGCGCCGAGACCGGTCGGGCCGGCGTCCACCGCCAGCACTAGCTGCGCCGCTGGCTCGAAATGAGCCAACACGCGTTCTGACGCCAGTTCGCGCCGTATCGCTGCGACGCTTTGTCGCTGCCGTTTTCCCCATTCCCATTTTGCATCTTTACGTAATAGCTCATGTAGAGGACTCAGTACAGAAGAGGCGTTTGGAATAAAATTTCTATAGTAGTTGACTACTCCTAGAAATCTTTTAACTTCGGTGACGTTATTTGGTTCCGGTGCACTAAGAATGGCTTGTACTTTATCCGGACAAGTCCTTAATCCCGTTTTACTAATCACGTAACCCAAATACCTGACGCTTTCTCTGAAAAATTGACATTTGTCTTTTTGTAAACGTAGGCCTGCCTTACATAGTCTATCTAGGACTTTACTTAGCCGCTGCATGTGGGAATTTCTATCGGGGCCCGTGACACAAATGTCATCAAGCCATATGCTTACCCCGTCTATTCCTGATAAGAGTGTCTCCATGCTCCTTTGAAAAATGGCTGGACCACTAGAAAGGCCGTACACTAACCTAGTGTATTTAAAAAGTCCTTTATGCGTATTAATTGCCGTGAGCTCCTGAGACGCGTCATCTAGGACGAACTGGTTGTAAGCGTTTTTTAAATCAATTTTACTATAGTGCTCACCCCCTCCAATTTTGGCAAAAACCTCTTCAATTCGAGGCAGGGGATATTTTTCTATTATGAGATCCTTATTTAATGTAATAGAAAAATCACCTGCGATTTTAACTTGGCCATTATCTTTTAAAACTGGCACAATGGGGGTGGCGTATTGAGAATAATTAATAGGAACAAGGATACCCAAGTGCATTAATCGGTTTAGCTCTTGTTCGACTTTATCTCTGAGGGCAAAGGGTACAGTACGCGGTTTAAAAAACTTAGGCACAGCATTCGCCTTCAACTGCAAACTGACTTTAAAGTTATTAAATGCGCCCAACTCGTCACGCCACAACGCCGAATATTTATTTAATAACTCATGCAATTCGGAATCATTTCTTATGTAATTTAATTTAGTAGTAATCACAAAATTAAAGGCGCTCATGAAATCCCTACCTAGTATAGGCGGTCCCCCATTTTTGACAACAAAATATTTAATCAATTTTGTACTGTTATTGTAACTAGTTTCTACAGTAATATAACCTAATGGATCAATCTTGTGTCCGTTATATAAGCACATTTTTACAGAACTACTATGTAATGAATATTTTAAGAATTTTTCCTTATATGTATTATAAGAAATCACACTTTTACTTGATCCTGAATCAAGCTCCATTGTCATACACTGATTACCTATTATTACATCAATTGAAATGGGCTTATCAGTCACATACCTCAAATTAAAATTGTGGCACTCCTCACAAGACGTGTCCTTGACCTGCTCTGGTTCGCTTACCGACTCGATATGGTACATCCGCGATCTATTGATACTATCGCACACTTTCTTTAAATGACCTTTTTCACCGCACTTTTGACATTTGTAACTTTTATAACGGCACTTATCACTTTGGTGGTTCTTCAAGCCGCAGACCGAACAACGAGAAAAATCTCTCGGTTGGTCGCGACCTCCTGATGTCCTGCCAGCATTAGGACGCCGTATAACCGCGCCGCTGTCTCCTTGACCTTGAAATTTCGCTCGGTATACCGGTTCCTCCTTAATTGTAGCATGTTCGCTGGTGCACAACATAACCTTCGCCCGCCTGGCATACGCCGCCTGCTCGGCTAGCTCCATAGCTACTGACAGTGTCAATGTGGACGGATCTTGTTCGAACAACTTATCTTGTTCCGGGCCAGGGCCCAGGCCGAGGACGAAACGATCTCTTAAATTCGTTTCCAAGGCAGTGCCGAAGTCACAATTGCTTGCGAGACCTCTCAATCGCGCTGCCCAGTCTCCCAATGATTCGCCTGGATTTCTGGTTGCTCCAAAAAATTTTTCTTTATCCACAAATGAGCATTTTTTTGGCTTGAAATGACCGTCGAGTAATTTAACGAGATTCGAGTAACTTAGAGATTCTAAGTCTTGCGGGTACGCTAAGTTTCGTACCAAGCGATACGTTTCATCCGTAAGATGGGTGAGAAGAATTCCACTTTTGTTCACTTCTTCGACGCGATTTATCTTCGAAAACTGAGTTAGTCTGCTTTTGAAAATTGACCATTCACTTGACTTATGGTCAAAAATAGGCAGATTTCCCAGATAAGCCATTTTTTTTTTTTTTAATTGTGGGTACTCCTTCTTCGTCGCCAATGATATGTTTGTGAATGCAATGAAACGACCGCTGTCTTGTAACACTCGTTTATTACTGGTTGGATGACCGTACTCCACACGTATATGTCACTAACACATTGCACATCATATAAACGAAGGACATTAATCTCAACTCAACATCGTAAACTTGCAAAATCTTAGTAAAAGACACAAGCAAAACAAACATAACAACCAATCATGAACAACAATAATTTATACGGCGACGCCATATTATGAGAAAAGAGAAATATATACTCATTTAGGTATTTGGTGTTACCAGTAAAAAATATAATTTTCTACTCATTGAAAATCAAAACAAAAAGAAAACATTTATTTTTCTTTTACTGTCAAGGATATGCTAATACAATAATGTAGAAAAATACGACAGGCATAGTTATCTTCCTATTGGTTATTATTTCTGTATTCAAAATTTTTGGGTGTAATTTATCTTTAGCAAAATCTTACTAATTATGAAACAAGACATTTATCTGACAAATGGCAATAATAAAATTCAGCCCCCGTAGGTATTTCATTCTGTCCATACAGAGTTGACCGGGCCTGCACTCCATAATGAAGGATGAAGATGTTTTATTTCATATATAAATATATGTAGCATTTTTTTATTAACTGCCTTTACGGCTCTGAGTTCTAGCCCTTCTGAGCCTATCATTTCTTTCGGAATCTTCATTTTTATATTATTTTTCTTCACAATATGCTGATGCGTCACATTGCGAAGCCCTTGGGAGATTTTGACGACAGCTCAACCCAGCGGACAGTTGATGACGACAGCCACTCAAGTTCATGAGGCGCCCAAACGATCAAAATAACTACAAAATAAAGCACTTGTTTCGTCGTTTTATCTAATAGTTTACATGCGCGGACACTTAATTCATAAACTCGCATCACTTTTACGAATTAAAATCCACTTCAAACCATTATTTATGCGACAAAACAGGAGCGACAACCTGTCTACGGCCAAGTTCCCGCCAAACTCCAGATATGTAGCAAGCAGGTTCAAGAACATAGAATACTATATATGTATTATAGTATTCTATGTTCAGGAAGTTGGAACCCAGAAATAATTATGAAAAATGTGACTAGTATAAATCGATTGCGCGTAAAATATGATGTTTATAGGTATTAACTATTTGTCGGCGCGTCAAATATTTGTTCGGATATTAAAAAAAAAATAAGGCGGTCGCTGTGAAATAATAAATTATTATTTTTTACTTAAAAAAGGACGGTAAAGGAATAATTAAGAAATGTAAATTTGTAAATTTTCACATGTGCAATTAGCACACGATAACAATTTAGCCAAAAGTTATTAATTTACATCGGAAATAATTAATTAAATAATCCCATAACCTCAGCCACAGTGTCTGCTTGAGAGTGCAACTTCCCGATTTTATAAAAGATACAATTTTTATAACAAGCTATTGTTTTATTTTAACAAGATTACGCACTCACAACCACGGAGGTTAGAGAACAGGAGAACGATCGCTGTAGAAAATAGTATCCCAGATATATGGACAAAATAAAGGTGGCGCTGCAATCGCTAAGTTGTATCAATAATTTTAATTATTATAAATATTATAAATTAACAATTGAAAATTATTAATTATTACTGATGTATTATTATTTTTTGATTAATATTTCAACATTTTTAATGCTTCTTTTTGTCAAAAATTAAAAAATTACTTCGCAGACACAACTCACCGACGGCAGCGCGGCTATAAATTCTACAAATTTTTAGAGACAGGCGGGCAACGCTTTATAGCACGTAGCGATCGTTCTCCTGTTCTCTAACGTCCATGCTCACGACTGACAAACGAGCTAAGCGAGATAGTGCTTTTTAGGAGTGCGTCCTACTCCATTAGGGTGACTACACGATTTGTTACTTCAAGGAAATAAGGACAAAGTGATGCTAAGGGATTCTCTTATATTTTTTTAAATTATAATAATAAACAAGGATTACAATTTTAATATATATAAATTACGTGTCACGTTGTTTGTCCGCGATGGACTCCTAAACTACATAACCGATTTTTACCAAATTTGCACACCGTGTGCAGTTTGGTCCAATTTGAGAGATAGGATAGTTTTTTGCCCATGAGTGACCCGATTTTTTTGCGAATTTAAGGATTTTTAATAGGACATGACATGACATAGGGTCGTCGAAATGTGCAGAACAACGTCTGCCTGGCAAGTTGGTAGTATATATGTGATTTATCAAGAAAAAAGATATTGTGCAATAAAAGTGTGGTTTGCAAGAAGATGTCACCTGTATTAAGAAAGGTACACTTCGGTGGTTTGGTCATGCATGCAGAAGTGAACGGCAGAGTCTGATACGAATATCGTAGACGAAAGTTTCAATTAAGGTTTAAGGAAAATTAAGGTTACTCTTAACCGATGAGCATTTATGAGTAGGTATATGAATGTGAAGGAGGTGAGAGAGGTGTATCAGGATCGTGTCAAATGTAAGTGTGTAGTCTCTGTCTACCCCTCTGTATGACACGAGTGAGTGTTTATGTTATGTTATATGTTATTAAAATATATAATTTATATATAGTGTAACTTTACAATATATTCATATTTCATTTACGTGTAAAACCCGCCAATAAATCTCTCAGATATGAGAAGAGACCTCTGCTCAGCAGTGGGATGCTTTAGAGCATACTTGAGATATCTAAACAATCCTCTTTAAAAGTTTCCGCCGCTTAACTATTTAAACGATTTCTTCTACCAAACACCTACTTTAAACAAATTAAAAATAAAGGTTGTCACTTTTTTGTTAACATTACTTCATTTCATTCATAAAATCATGGCTTATTATACTATTTATATCGATGCATAAAATATATAATCTACAAAGGGTCATATTAAGGTTATTATTTATGCACTATTTTCTCACTGAAATCCATAATAATACAGTAATTAGTTCTAAAATCATCATCACTCATAGAAAAAAACTTAAGTTCTTAAAATGCATAATTTGAAGCTCATTTCATCTTTATTTAATTCTAATGCATGATAACGGCGTAGAATAATAGATGCGAAAGCTATATATGTCATTATTTTATAGCAAACGTTAAGATAATTAAACCAAAAAACACAAATCCTAAAACATTACTGTTTTGCTATTGCCTAAATTCCAATTCCAACGCAATAACAAACACAATATGCAGCTGTCAACAAAAAGTGCATCGAGAGTACCAATTTTGCTTACAATCGGATTAGATGCATATTTTCTATTCTAATCTCAATTAGTACATACAATCACCACGCAATATTAAACTAATTTAGAGCTGGAGATCCCTTTCAAGAGTACGAAACATAATAATTTCAATCCCGATCGATCGGAATTCTTTTCAAAAGCAAGCCTGATGGTGATGAGATACGGATTGAATGTTTAACTGATAATAGGAATAGCTTTGAAAATATAACATAAAGCGTTGTGTTTGAAAGATAAATATGCACACCAACACTCCCACGTAACATCGCTTTCTGTCAAACAAAACATTAACTCATAACATAAATCACTTTAGTAACATAGAAAGCTAGAAGATTTTAGTAGACTAAAATCAAAGATATTATAATACACTTCTTATAGAAATATATTATAATTTCTTTGATTTTATAGAAAAAAGTAAAATAACTTTAACTAAAATAAATATGGGAACCCTACTTCAAGCATTACAAAATTATTTACCTATATAAAGATACACAACTTCCTTTGTATGATTCACTTTTGCATCATTTCACGCAACAGTTGAGAACCATTCTTAACTGTTTGGACACGATAAAAAATGTAAACATTAAAGTGAATACTGGGCAAACACAATTCACTACCCTATCTATACACATGTATACGCCATATTGAAGATGTAGTGTTACTCAGTTATTACATATAACATAAACACTCACGCCTGTCACCCAGAGGGGGTAGGCAGAGACTACGGACTTCCATTTGGCACGATCCTGACATACCTCTTTCGCCTCCTTTACATCCATATATCTACGCATACATGCTCGTCGGTTAAGAGTACTTCTAACGTGGCCCCTTTTCAAAATATCGCCAATTTGGTCGATAAACTTTTTTCTAGGGCGTCCCTTCCCGACTCGGCCGTTCACATCTGCCATATAAATTTGCTTTGTCACTCTTTCCTCATTCATTCTTTCTACATGACCAAACCACCGAAGCATTCCTTTCTTAATCCTGGTCACAACATCATCTTGCATACCACATTTATCTCTTATCATGCAATTTCTCACCCTGTCATTCAGATTCAACCCTAGCATACTCCTTAAAGACCGCATTTCTACAGCATTTATTCTACTTTCGTGCTTCTTCTGCCACACCCAGCTTTCACTACCATACATTAAAGTAGGGACTAACACAGCATTATGAATTACCATACGTGCCTTTTTTGACACATTCTGGTTCTTCATAATAGAGTATAGTGCCCCATTCACTCTATTCCCTGCATTTACTCGTCGTTCTATATCCCTATCATATCTACCATCCCTGCTAAATACACATCCCAAATACACAAACTCATCCACTTGCTCAATTAACTCTCCTTCTATTCTTATTTCACATACCGTTTTGCTTTCTTCTCTTTCAAAAACCATCACTTTCGTCTTACTTGCGTTCACTTTCATTCCCCTTTCTTTTACTTCCCAGTTCATTAATGTAACCATCATTTGCTACTCAGCCACCGATGACGCAAATTGCTCAGTTATTATTTGTAAAAATTGCAAAAACTACGACTCTGAAACAAAGCAAGTAGTTAAACACGGTTGGATATTACGCATAAGTATAAATGTTTTCTTTTGAAGCCTTCTCTTTCATTTTATTTAATAATTATTTAGAATTATTACAAGAACAGAAATAAAAAAATATCACGTGAAAAAATATTTCACTGTTGCAACACTATAGACAAGGATGCATTCCTAAA